CCTGTAAGTCAACAATCCTTTTAAACAGCTATAGATTTGAATGACATTGACTGCTGTGTGTGGTAAAATGCTTATTCAGAAGTGTTCACAAATGAAGCACCATGAGCTAAAGTTCAAGAAAACTGCCAATGACGAGGCTGAAGGGAAAACCAGTTATGGGTGAAAGTTTTATAACTGGATGAAAGGATGTATAATTTTAACAACAATGGCTGGGATCTTGACTTAGTTATATTTGGAGCAGACCCACTGAAATCAATTAACTTCCCATTGTTTTCAGCTGATCTCCTCTAAGTAGTACTGTATTTGCTTTCAAACCATTAACCCAAAGTGAAACCATGATAGATTCACAAACAATCACTCCCAAAATATCCTTGTGCAAACTACAGTACTGTTTTCAACATAGTCCTGCTGTTGCTATTAAAGTTCATGAAAAAGGAACATATGAAGAGCTCTGCTGGATGAAACAAAAATCCTACTGTCGTCCAGCATCCTAAAATAATAACTTACTCTACCTTTGCAGGCTTGTAAGAAGGCATTACAGAAGTATGTCTATAGCTGTATTGTCTCTATCCTAAAATGTAAAATCTGCCCAACGACAAAGGTTTAGCCCATAGTTCCTCCAGGAGGCCAAGTGGTGCCTGGGGAGACCCTACCTCAATACTAATCTGGGGTGAGCATTTTCCCATGCAGTGCTTGGTTGCTGAATAGGGGAATTTGGCTGAAACTGAAGCCTGGAGGCCAACAGGCAATAGGCATCACTGTTCTGTCCTAAGGAAAGTGTCCCTGGCATTTATAGTAGACCTGCTCCAACAATCACTGGAACTGATGCGGCACACTCTTATTTCCATTTGTGCCTAAGGCTAGCTATGATGCCTGACCTCCTCTTCCCAGTGTTGGATACCTTTGTAAGCTAAGTCCAAGAGTACTTCCAGAAGGAAAGCTCCTCCTATTCTCAGTCAGAATGCACCATGCAGCTACTCCATCTTCTCTTTCTTAACAGATCATCTGTGGTAAGAAAGATGGAGGATGCAGTGGAAAACACGAGAGGGTTACAGGTTGAAGAAAACATCATCTAGACCCTCCACAAAAATTCCAAGAACAAGGAACCAATAACAAATGAAAAGTCTCATTTGCAGGAACCTCAGGCCTTAGCACATGTGGTTCTTGGTTCAATCTACAAGTTCAATGTCATTCAGTGCTGGCTTCAGACTTGGGGTCTTCTCTCGCAGTGAGCCTGCCTTCTCAGTGCCAATGACAATGGCTGCTACTGCTCTTCATCTTCCCCTGTCGTTACTACCATTACTATCGCTTGACTGACAGGCAGAGAATATGTAGTTGTGGAATCTGCTGCTCCTCCTCCTCAGCACCACTGTTGCCTGGGCCAAGGTGAGAGGGCAGTGAACAAGCAGGTTGCAACAGGGGAAGAGACAGACCAATCCCAGGGAGGTCTTGTCAGTATGGAGTATGTGCCCTTTCTTTCTTCTTTCTTCCCCTCCCACCATATCTATGTGCATGTTGAGTATTCTTGTGTACATGCATTCCTTCTCAATGCATTCCTATAAAGAAATACATTTTTTTAAGATCTAGGACTTAAATTAATGAATATTAATGAACTAGTTCCTTTCAGTCTTCAAATGTAAATTTAAAAACAAACTGAAAACTTCCCATATGCAGGGAGAAAGACAATACCACAGGAAAAGAAGCTTGTTGCTTAAAAAGCATGCACTTAACAGTTAAATAATTTGGAGTACAGAAATTTGTTTTGAGTACCAGAATTGCATGAAGCTCACAATCTGTTTGCAGAAAAATCCACTTGTGGTTACCGCAAGCACTCTTCATTTTAGCAGTATAATTCAGGGCAGGACTTATGGAGGGTGGAGTTTGTTCTTGCTAAAACAGACTTCAGAGCACCTAGAAATTCAGATTTACTTTCTGTTCACCCTTTAGTCTATAATGCAGGGCTGTGTCCAGATTTGAAAGGGCCTTCAGGAAATTCCAGGGATGGAAATTGTCCTTTTGTGTCCCTCTTCCTCTTGGAGGGTGAACCCTGCTGGCCTCCTCTGGTGGTGTGGGGATGGTGGGAAGCATTACCACCACAAATGGTCCCAGACAGCTGCACTCAGGAACCACTGCATTATTACAGGACCTACATGGGAAAGGTGGGTGGGAGAACATTGTCTGTGACAAAAAGGGAGAAAAGTGAAATCTTGAAGTGGTCTTGAATGGCCAGTCAAGTTTTATGTCTTGCAGATTTCACTGGTCTACAAATTTTGGGAAATTATCAACCTCTGAGATAAAATGTGCTAGTATTTTGATTAGATGAATTAGAAAACAGGCGATAAAGGTGCTGGTTAGCTAAAGTTTTCAAGATATTTCACAATAAAGATTTATATACAGGCGAGCATAGTTGCCTACAAGGGAGGGAGGTGTCCGATGATCATGATGCCTCATAACTTCTCGATAAAGTACGGTAGAACAATGGAAATGGTATCACATGGAAGTGTATAAAGTTATCTTCACTTTGAGACTAAAGATTATTAAGTAACTGTAATTTAATGTTCTTTTATTGCAAGGTACATTTGTCTTGGTCAGATCTACACATCATACAGTTACATGTGGTGGCTTGTGAAAGTGTCATTGGCTGACATTTCCAAGGAACAGTTGCGTGATATTTTCCCTCAGAAGCCAAAATGCCTCAAAACTGTGTAAACAATGCATATAACTTCTGCTACATTTGTGGCGAGGTTACATTTGCATCTCAAAAGTGCAGTATGACGGCAGTGGTAAACAAGGCATGCCACCTATATTTTGGATGCAAAATAGGGGATCAGGACAAGAGTTGGGCTCCTCATTATTGTTGTATTACATATGCAACTTATCTGTGTCATTGATTAAACAAGAAGAAAAAGTCCATGCCCTTTCACAGTCCCAATAGTGTGGAGGGAACCCACCAATCATAGTAATGACACGTAAAAAGCAGAAAAAGTTACATAAAAAACCAATATGGAAAGTTATGTTATTGGCATAAATAAAAAGATAAATTTATTATGATTGGTGTGGCACCATTCTTATTGTTTTATCACATTTTGCAGAAAAGCTATGGAGCATAATCGCACATCCCCCTCATAATTTTGAATTATTTTGATACAATTTGGAAATTGGAGGCAATTGAATCTCAGGACTTAATTTTCCTTTATTAGTGACCCAATTCTGGTAAAATTTAGCTACTTTCATTTCTGAGGCTTTCTCTTTGTAGACCAGTGTTTCCTGTACCTCTGGAAACAAACAAACAAACAAATACCCCCAAAACCCTGGCTTTGTCTCAGACAGTAAATCTTTGATTAAAAAAAAAAATACATAGGGGAAGCAAATTGCTATCCTTCTTCTATTTATTTATTATTTATTTTATTTATTAAAACATTTTTATGCCGCCCCATTCGCCAAAGCCTCGGGGCAGCTTACAACAATTAGTTAAATAATTATAATTAAAAATATAAACATTAAAATAAAATACATACAATATAAAATAAGCCGTCCTGGCCAGATAAAATTCAATAATATTAACATTTAAAATGCTGCTTAAATAAAAAGGTCTTCGCCTGGCGCCGAAAAACAAATAACGACTACTTAATTATAATTTCTCACAATGCCTCTCATCCACTGATAACATAGAGCTGATCAGGGTAAATTAAAATGGCAGCTTCCAGCTCCAGTCATATGACAACAATAGGAGTGCAGAAATAAATAAATTCAAAGAGACTCTGGGCAGCTATGAACATAATGCTACTCAAGTACTCTCAACACCCTGGGGATGTTGTACACTGATGTCAGGTTTGCTGAAAAGTTAATAATGATTATGAAGTTAGATTTAAGCAAATGGTTATTTAGTTTTACTTATTTCATATGGTAAATTGGCTTGTTAAGAACATCAGTGTTTGAACACAGAACCTCAAGGTCTGAGGGTAAAATCTAATGAACTGCCTGTAAGTCTTCAGAAACAGAAAAATAGGGCTTTGCAGCATCAGCTCTGCCACTGGTAGGTAAAAGCAGAATTAAGTCTCTGGAATGGACAGGCCTGGCATAAATACTAGGAGCCTGGCCTTCAGCCCCTGCATATTCAAGGCATACGTTACTTCTGCATGTGACACTTAATATTCCAGACACTGGGCTCTGGATTGGAAAATATGCACTCGGGTCTGGATTTGGCTATACAGAAATGCCCAACCTGGTCCTGCTCCTGTCCCAACTAATCATCCAGCAAGCAAGGCGTGTTACATGCTCCAGGTGGATTAGCCTATTACTCATTTCCCAAACAGAAGACACAGATTTGCATATGTTAATTTCTATGTATTATATATGTGAACTACATCTCTCACCATATTGGGGAACACTATGAACAGGTTCGCTTACCTACACAGCCTCTTGTCCAAGTGCTGAGTATTGATGGGCAACCTCAAGACCCCTGTTATTTTCTCTATATATGTTTTTTTAAAAATCTTTAAACTGGACTTGGACTGGCCAGATCTCCAGATATAGGATACCCTCAAACATAGGGTCATCCTCTGATAGCGCTTCAAACCAGAAACCCCAGCTCCATCTGAAGAACCAGTTTCTAAAGTGAATTTCAATTTCAGTGAGCTGCATAACTTCTGTAGTGAGGTGTGATGCTAATTAGTGGTCCAGAGTACTACGGGCTAGATGAACAAGCAAATAATTAGAAACAGTGTTGATAAAAAGGACCAAGACAATAGGCAATTGTAGATAAACCACACCACTATGCTGGATATTTTCCAGCTGTGCATTTAGCACTCAACCATAAAATGCCTAAAGTATGTGTAGTATATTTCCTGAGACTTGAGTAACAGCCACTAGTTATTTTTTTAATCTAAATTGTACTGACTGGTGACATTTGTCCAAGTACTTTGTTGCCAGGTTGTTGCCAGGATATATTTTTGCATTTATTTCAGCACCCAATAAATAGGTTTAATTATTAGCCTCACTCAGCATGATGTCCATGAAAAGCTGCTGCAGAATTTTCAGATGAACAATACAGAGCAGAAGGGCAGAACTTGAGAAAGGAACAAGGAACCCAAAGTCTGAAAGGAAGGAAATCACTAGTGAAACCACAACTGCAGAGCTGTCTCCTATTCTGATGCTTCTCAAGCAAATTTCAGCAACACCAGCAGCATCATTAACACAGCAATCTCCCTTTGTAATATATTCAGTGGAGCTGCTAAATGATGTGCTAGCAAATATTTGGTCACACTGCAAGCCATGGGAGCAGAAAAAAACACTGGAATGTTTGGATAACTACCATGGTTATTCCATAGTGGAATTTCTCTACTGCAAAGTAAAGCTAGGACAATGGAAAATGGCTGCCCCACCCCCCCAATCCTCATATGATCTCTGTCCCATCCTGTTCTGAGGAGATGGAACATTGGGAATAGAACACAGAGAGCCAGATAACCTCATGAATCTTCAAAATGTAAGTAAGTTTTTGCAGGAGAACACAGACACTATCAGAAACTTCGGAGAGGACTGCACAGAATGCTTTTCTTTTCATGCATTCACTCGTTACCCACATGGCTTCATGAATAATGCATTGGTAGAGAAAGAAGAAATATAAATTGGCCTGACAGGCAACCTGAATAAACTAAAGTGGTTCTCAAAATTTGTCTACTGAACTCAACAATAGATGAGCAGCACCAATCAAATCATTTTCCTTGAAATCTTGCATCGTTTGGCGCAGGCAGGAATGTTGGGTCTCAGTAACAAAAAATGGACCAAAAAAATCAAAATGAATTCCAAGTAAATGTGAAATATCCCCAAGCATTTTCATAATCTGACTATTATATAGTTTTTATAAACCTTTGATAAGAGTCCAAGGCTTTTGACACCTTTGATGGGAAAATTATATTAACGTACAGTACATTTATTTTAAATATGGCTTTGCTGTTAAGGCATAAAAAGAAAGTGAAGTTGGTTCAAAACAGAGTCACAAGCTGTGTATTTTGATCATACTATGCTAAAACCTTACCAATTACATTGGCTCCCAGTTACTTTCTCAACCCAATTTAAAGAGCTGATTTTAACCTATAAGGTTTGGGATCAGGTTACCTGAAAGATCCTTTTCTCCTGTATACAACAACCCAAACTCTCAGAGGTCTGTTCCACATACTCTCATGTGAAGTGGCAGGATGTGAGTGGCTATAAGGAAAGCATGTGGAATAACCTCCAAAGACAGGCTCACCTGGAGTCTTCTTTAAGCTATTTTTGGTGCCATGTGAAGACCTTTTTTATTTAGCGAGGCCTTCTAAACATGTCTTGAGCTTTTGTTATTTTAGTATGTTATGGTTCATCTGAACTGCTGTTTTATGCTCCCTTTTTAGAAACATGTTCCTAATGTTCTATGTTCTATTGTCTGTTGTTTTTAATTAGGGTGCTAATTAAAAATTAGGGGGGGTTTTCCAGACCTCAGGAATAGGGGTTTTCTTCCTTTCCAGGCCAGCAGAGGGCTTAAGTGCATTAGGGAGACTGTGGAAAAGCAGATAACTTGATTTCCACGAACAGTAATTCCCACTAAGTTAAAGTCAGTAAACATTGTTTAGAGATTAAATGCTAAAAGTAGACTGCAGAGCCCCAGATGCAAATCCTCACACAACCATGAAACTCATAGGGACAGGTACTTTCTCTTAGTCAACACTTTCTCACACTGTTGTTTGAAGTATTAAAATGGTGGTGTGGGGGAAAGGCTCTTCTAAGCTACCAGGAGCTCCTTAGAGGGAGGCGGCAGTAAAAATTCAATTAATCAATCAATCAATGCAAATGCCCCAGAAACCAAATGAGCTGGATTACCAGTTTGCATTTAGCGTTAAGAAAAACCAGCAAGTTCATTGTTCCACCAAATGGTATTCTGGGCTCCTTTTAGTTTCTGGTTTGTATCAGGGTTCAGTAATCAGGCTGAAAACCCAACCAAAACTCTCACTATGGGTCTGAAGGATAAGTCTGACCATGGTGTGGTAGCTAAAAGGCAGCCACCACAATTGAACATGTGACTGGATACAGCTTCTGAACACCAGGCAAGGGCAGTCCCATTCAGAAGCATTATAGTAATCCAGCTATGCAGGATTGCTATAGGGCAGTGATGGCGAACCTCTGGCACGCGTGCCCAAAGGGGCACACAGGGCCACCCCAGCAGCCATGCACATATTTGAAAAGATTAAGTGTGCCAGGCAATGATGTCACTCTTTAGACTCATTAGCCGCGACTCATGGAGCTTTCGCATAACCGGTCAGTGAGCTGCCAGGGATTTGCATGGACTGTGATTTTAGTGGGATGCAGGTGGCACAGTGGTTTAAACTGCTGTGCTGCTGCGCCGGTTGATCGAAAGGTCACCGGTTTGGCTCTGCACAACCGGTTGTGATTTTAGCAGAAGGAAGGAAAGGTAAGAAATACACTCAGATGCCTTTTTCAGGGCCGGCCAAAAGCTGGTGGCCAGTGGAATGTTGCCCCCTTGTGCTGGTGGTCAGCAAATTCAGGTTTTATTGCAGTGTCGGCACTTTGCGATAAATAAGTGGGTTCTGAGTTGCAGTTTGGGTACTCGGTATCTAAAAGGTTCGCCATCACTGCTATAGTGTATCCTTCTCCAAGAGCAGGAGCAGTTGTCACAACAACTGAACTTAGAATATAAATGTATAATTGCCATCACTGAACCCCACAAATAGTCCCCCCCCCAGCACATGGTCTACTAGCATGAACCCACTGCATGTTCTTTCAGGACTTGCACACTAGAGCTTTCCTCCACAATTCCTACACAAGAACATTGCTATCATTATTTGAATGGATGGACATGTAAACAAGTACACATCAGGTAAGAAAGTGTAAATCATGCAAACATGTGTAAAGTAATGCAGAAAATGCACCAATTTCACATATAAGATGCTGGGATCTGAGCAAGAGAGATATTTGGGATGTAGTGGGCCGAAGCATCAATGAAAATGTCAATCCTGTGTGTAGTTACTGTGAAAAAAGGCACTCCGTGTAGTCATAATTAGGAAAGGAGCTGAAAATAAAACAGCCAAAATTGTACTGCCTTTATACAGTTCTCTGATGTGACCACACTTAGAATATTGTGTACACTTCTGGTTACTACACCATAAGTAGGTTAGAAAAAATGAAGCAAAGGGCATCTAAACTGATCGATTCCCCTGTGAGGAAAGGTTACAACAGGGAAGACGTGATAGAGGTATACAAAATTATGTGTGGTGTGCAGAAAATAGTTAGGGAGACATTTTTCTCCATCTCTCAAAATTCTAGAAACTGAGTTACCCTATGAAACTGATTGCTAAAAGATGCAGGACAGAATAAGAGAAGTATTTCTTTACAACATGCATAGTGAATAATTCACTCTATAATTCACTTCCAAAGTACTGTCCTCCAATTTGGAAGGCTTTAAAAGGGTACTGGAACAGTTCATGGAGGGAATGCCCATCACTAGCCCTGATGGCTGTGCACTGCTTCCAGTATCATAGTATGCCTGTATACACCAGTTCTGGGGGAACGTGCATATGTGGTATTGTTGCATTCATGTCCTATGTGAGGGCTGGACACTGTATGAATAGAATACTAGACTAGATGGATGCAGCATAGTTCTTCTTAAGTTCTGAATCAGCTACTGTAGCTATTTTCAATTTGTTTGGAGTCATTTTATCTTCCAAGCATTCTTCTCCATTGGCTCTGCGTCTTCAACCAGACAGAAAGAATAACAATAACTATTTCAAAGGAAAGACAAGTTTAACACCTGGACTATCACTGTAAAATGAGTTCATTTGTCAATTGCACTGTAGCTTCCTCACTAAAGGATTAAGTCCTTCAAAACGTTACAGAACCTTCACTTATTGTAATTATGCTTCTTTTTGTAAATAGCCAAAATCCTATGCTGCATGGTAGCCAGGAAATTCTTAAATCAAAATCATTGAGAGAACAACATAGGACACCATATTTATTTTGTTTCCAATCTGCTGCCCAGAATGAATCCAGTGTAAGCAGAGGAAGCACACTGCTGCCTTCTGTCCAGGGTCATCTGGTATGCAAGAGAACAAATGCCAAGGGAAAATATAAAGACTCATGCCATTAGTACATTGGCCTCTGACTAGATTGGACAATTTCCCTCCAGTACTATTTGATGCAGCCTGTCTGAATATTTTGCTCTGCTGAATTGTAGAACAAAAGCTCTGTGAATCTCTGTCTCACATCCGTGCAAAACCATTCAACCTGGTGTTTTTTTAACAATTTTGGTGCCTTATAAATGCTCAACAGCTGTGCTTAGCAAAGCAATCCTAATAATGGACCTTGTTTCAGACAGAACAGGAAAGAACACAAACATTTTAATTGTAACAACAATGGACCTAACAACAGCAGGCCAATCCCAATGCATTTTGCAGGATCTTCTGTGGGGAAACGGCTGAAAACACCTTGGGGCTTCTCCACTTCCCCCAGTTACTGTTATTGTGCACTCCGCCACAGAGCATCAGAGAAATATAAACCACTGAATTAACAGGGAGAATCTTCGCGACAGTTTTGTTATGCATGCCATGCAGTAAAGGAAATCGGTGCACACTCTAAGTATGCATAGGGGGAGGAGGAAGAAATCACACAGCTTCTTCACATGCCACAATGTCATAGCCTTAAACATGCTGTGTTTATATAAACATTCTATTAAATGCCCTAGCATAGGGGGGAAATTAACAAATAAGGTTAAACACATCAGCTGAAGTTGCAAGTCAAACGTGCAAATCTGTCCCTATCTTTCCTGTCAAAAAGAACTTCATGCTCATGCACATCTGTAACAAGAACAGTGAAACCAAACCATTTCTGCTTAAGCCAACTAACTGTCAAAAAGGACCTTTTATGATTATTCGACTTTCTTAAAGTAAATCACTTCTCTCAATTGAAAAGAGAACTTTAAGCCATTACATTAACTTTTTCAAGCTGAACATAGCACCCACCTACACTCAATATGTGCTGGAAGATTTGATAAATTGTGGAAGCCTGGTCCACCAGTGGCATGAGAGATGATGCCTCCTTCTTAGATAATCCTCAAAATTACTTTTAAGACTGAAAGGCATTTAGATTAGAGCATAAAAATGGGTACACAAATATAAATGAACAGTACTTTGCCACTAAAGTTTAAATTTACAGCCTTCTGTCATAAGACTCTCATATAAGAGACTCAGTAAAATAATTATTTAAAATGCAACAAACAATGCAATTCTTTAAATTAAAGGCAGCAACAATAAATTAAGAATCAGCAAATGACACATTCATAAAAAAACTTGGTAAAACAAAACAAAATGCAACCCTCAGCTGAGGACCAACATGTAACTTTAATCAGCTATTTTCCCTCAATCTTCACTGGGGCTCTACGATAGGAGTGGGGGTAGGAAATATTGACCTACTGCTCCCTCCTGTGGCCCCACTTTCATTCAGGTCCCATAGGAGCAATGTGCACCAGCAACATGTATTACAAAAGAGAGAGGCCTCATTAAAATGAAAAGGGGCCTTTTAGGAAGGAAAATTGCAGGTATAGTGGGCACAGAAAGGGGTGATGGGTCAAAGTCTCCTATCTCCTGATAGGGGCCTAAACTGTATCAGAGATTCCGCACTGTCAACAACCCTGCACTTAAGGGCATAACTAGGTGATTGAGGTTATGTATAGATTTGCCCAGAATGGGCCCACCAGATCTCAATCAGGATCCACAGCACACACTCACAAGACTCAAAGAAAAGCCTCTCACCCAATAGCAGTGATTCTTCAATTAGCATTCCTCAGGATCATGGGAACACATTGTTGGTGGGGGGTGGGGGGAGATGCTTCCTCAGGTGTCTTAGACCCAGGTCATTTAGGACTTTAAAAGCCAAAACCAGTGCCTTGAATTTAGGCCCCAGATATCCTGCCAGTCAAAAAAGCTCATTTGGAATTAGCATTTGGTTCACTTAACTATTAATTCCTAACAGTTGAAGTTTCCAAATTGAATTCAAGCATTGCTCAGCATGTACTCCTCTACAGTCTGTCAGTGATAAGACCATCAGAATACGCAGAACATTTTCGCCAGCTGAAAGGGGCCCAACTGGCAACTCAGAAAATCTGAAACAAGGCACTCTTAAATGTGTAGCATGTAGCAGATCCTAATTTTTTTCACTCTCTTATAAGCATGTGGGGCCAGGATCCAGATTGGGACCACTGCATGTGAGTGGGGAGGGTTAACTTGCCCACCAACTGCTTCTCGCCCCATCCCATCCTCCTGCACAAGGGTTAAAGAAAGAACATATAATGACAATCCACAATAGCCTGTACTGAACATGTGCTTTGGATTGTTGCTGCATGTGGACCAGGTCACTCTGAGAGTGTGTTTGTGTGTAAGAGTAAAAACAATCTTCTTTGCTGAGTAAAAAAGCGGTTTGCAAAACACATATGGTTCAAGATATCCCAAACACAGCCAAACATGTCACCATCCTAACTGAAGAGAACCATGACAAGTTTCCCCTGTATGCAGTGTTTCAGCAAGTGTCAGGGCTGCTGCTTTTTACTTTGTTCACCCAGTCTTCAGATGCAAATGGAAGGAAAGCTCTTCTGACAATCTGAGCAACGCCAATGAGCAAACTTACTTGAACTCGAAGTTGGAAACCTTTCATCATTGAAGTATCTGACTAAAGCCACCTAATGAAGCACAGTACTTTTCATATCATTTGGCAAATGCTGCTAAAGTCTCCCAGAAAGCACGTCTGTCAAAGTTGCAGTAAATGTACTAATGGCACCATCTAAGGGCACAAGGATGCAGTACATGCTTCTCTCTCCAAAGGAGCTACTGTATCCAGAACTCTAAAAGGCAATAAAAATGTAGCCGTTTGGCTTTCAAATACTGAAAGCCATACAATGAATTCTTATTTTTACACTGCATCAATGTTTTTCTCATTCTATAGATGAAAATTCATAGGAAAATTATATTTGGCTTTTTATGGATTATATCCTAAATCATCTTTTACATATTATTGGGAATTCAATTAGTTTCTTGGATGTGTAAAAGTGTGTGCTCGCTCGCGCGTGCTCTCTCTCTCAAACACAGCGACTTCCCTCTTTTAGTCTTACTCGCATCAATCAGCTTCTGGTGCTCTAAAAAGTTCTCTTGAATCTCAGTTTTATCAAATGGTGAAGGGGGGTGGGTGTCCTGCTATAGATACTTCCTGCAAGGTTCTTTGTCCCCTATCTATTATATACTCTTTTAACTGTATTAGTTAATAGTAGGCTAAGCAATTAGAATAGCAAGGAATTCCTTGCAATAGCCATACTTTCATAGCCTCAAGGTCACCCCCGAGTGGGCTTTCTGTGCTGTTCCCACTGGCCTACCAGCCAAGCATTTCTATTCCACTACTAGGAGCACCAAGCATCCAAGTAGTGACACATTCACACTAGACCTGTAGACATAGGCCTGATCCATATGACCAAGTTTGCTGTTTTTAGAAAGGTCAAAGAGTGCGCAGATCAAAGTTCAACAATTGTGAAGTACTATGCAATATTCTTATACCCAACACATGAGCTACAGGTAGGAAGGAACACCCAGAGCTTTGAATGAGCAAAAGGGAGTGATAGTGTTTCTCTACCAAATGGTGGCTTTATCCTGACAGTTGCATCTGAACCACCCCATTGTTGCTGGACCTGTAGGAGCTCTTTATATAAAGAGTACATTGTATTAGGACAAAAAGATATACTGCAATGTAAATTTTAAATAAGGACTGCAGGTCATACTATTAAAGTGATTTTAGTTAGCTTTTGAGGAGGACTGGGGAATATGTTTACTAAATTAATTAATTACATGGCTAGTAAAAGGTTTATCAAACAATTCTGATCATAAAATGCTGAGGAAATTATAACAGTGCTGGGTTTGGGTCCCAGCTGTGCTCATTCCTCTCTATTAGTCCCACGTTTTTTTATGAAAAAGATGTCCAAAGATGTTTAAAAGAATCAAAAAGGGAATGAACACACACGTTTGAAGTAGGTAAGCAGACTTTGTGTTCAGAAGCTCACATCAAACTTTCTCTATTAATATTACAAAGTATCTGCATGACATTTGTGGTCTGAATCCCTTTATTCACAACTGAATGGCAGACCCTTGCTTTGAAATCTGCAGAATCTTGGTTTCAAGTGGTGGCATACAGAAGAACAACACACTGGGAGAAAAACTGAAGGCTCTTATTTCCCATGGTAACTAACACATATAATAGGACAGAATCAGCCAGTGGGAAATGACATGAAGAAAAGCCTTGATGATAGTAACGTGGATTCCAAAATGAGGTCTTCCTACAATGCACTCTGAAAATGCATTTCACAAAATGACAGAACTTCTTTTAACATGATACACCAATGCATTATAACCATACTATAGAGTGGGAGAGGAAAATGCTGGAGATGAAAGTGCAGAAAACAAGTAACAGCACATTTTTACTATTTAAAGGGCACTGACCTGTACTTTCCAGTCCGTACTTGTAGAGCTCGTATCCCACAGTGCTGGGCACCTCCTACATCATTTACAATATCATCCCCAATCATGACGGCCTGTCAGAGCAATGAAATACAGACAGAAGTGGTGTCAAGTGCATTTGATTCCTGTCCTACTCCATCTTCCTTGACATAATAAACTGCTCGATTTGATGTTTAATACAGCCATCATACAAATTAAACAAGATAATATTGTCACTGTATTGATTAAAAGTCAGCCCACCTTGAATATAATTCAGCCTCCATCTATGAGGTCTACGCAGTCAAGCACTAAGCATCCAGGCAATTTGAAAGCCATCAGGCAAGTCAACATTTTTTTGACACAATGCAATCAGTATGCTGACATTTTAAAAAATTCCCATAATTTCTTTCAACATTAACTGATTAAATTTCATAGTTGTATTACAGTGTTATTCCCCAACCCCTTTCCTTTCCTCATAATGTGAAATGCTTTCTACCCTTACCTAACCAAGTACAACGTAATGGTTTACTATCCAACAAACACCAATTAAGTACCTACTGTCAAGTTTGTCAAAGATTTAAAGCACTGAGGTTTGGGATAACAGAACATTTATTATGACTGCCCTTGTATTTTTCTGTCAATTGTTTCTATTATCAGTCTTAAATACTATAAAGCATTGAAGCAAACATGTTACTCTAGATTTTGAAAAGCCCATGAACAAGCCTACTAATGTTATTTTCTGACTGAACTTAGTATTAAAGCCAACTTTTTAAATTTACTTTTTTCCACTACATGCTAAAAACCAAAGCTGAAAGTTTCACCTTTGTTCTAAACATATATACTGTATCGGTAGCTGGAACATGGCTACAGCAGCAGCCTGCATGGCACAAAGCAGCAGGTTTGTCCAGCTTTTACATGGGCCATGATGAACAAAATCCTTCAGCAGACTGCAGAGGTAACTGCCCCACCACCTCCAAGACATTTTGCGGCCTGGATCTAAAAAGATAGCACGCCCTCCCTTTCGATGCGCAAAAGAAGAGCTGGGGCTTCACTCCAGAGACATGGAGGTGGGACTTTCAAGGCACTTCTGCCCAGCCTATTTAGCAGCCCGCCCCAAAGGGGCAGCACACTTGGGCAGCTGCCAAAGGATGGCTGAAAAAAGACCTTTGGGGGCCCACATGGGCAGTCCCTCCCTTTCCTTTTTTCATTTTAGGGGAGGAAGGGAGGATGGGTGGGTTGGGCTGTTTCAACTGTAAGGCGTGATGGTTTTTGTTTTTTACCTTGCTGTATTACAGTACTTGCTTTTAACTGTTCTAGTGTCTCTGGGGTTTCCTGGGGAGCAATAGGGTGCTCTCATGAATGTGGTCATGGGCAGAGGAAGGTATGACAGTGGGGGATCAACTAGCCAACGAAGGAAAAGCGGGGTCAGATATCCTCCCTTCTGGTTCTTCCCCCAACCAGCCAATACCAGGCAGTTGTGTCGGTCTGCCCTCAGGCCTAGTGCTGCTGCTACTGAATGCCAGGTCAATCCAGAATAAGACATCAATTATACATGATTTAAACTTTGAGGAAAAGGCTGACCTGGCCTATGTTGCAGAGATTCAGGATGGGGAGATGGGAGGGGGAGCTGGATATACTTACCCAGCTCTGCACACCTGGGTATGCTGTACAGCACCAGCTGAGCCCAGGGAGCTGGGGAAGGGGGAGTCACTGTTCTCTCTCTCTCTCTCTCATGCTTTCTCTCTCTCAAGGCTTTCTATTCACTCAAAGACAGGTCTAGAGTGTGTGTACCTGTTGCTGGGTGATCGAGACAGACTAGCGATTTTGTTGCTGTACTGCCCACCCTTCTGTCCAACAGATTCCCTGCCTGAGCTGATAGAAGTCATCTCGGACTTGGTGTTGGGGGGACCCAAGATGTTAGTTCAGGGTGACTTCAAACCTCCATGCCAAGGCTGCCTTATCTGGAGCAGCTCAGGGCTTCATGCCCCTGCAAACAGCCATGGGGCTATTTCCACATGTCCAATGCATGAAAAAGGTCGCACCCCTGATCTGGTTTTTTCAAATGGGCAGGAAGATCATGATCTGGAAGTGTGGGAATTAACAACTATCTCTTTGTCATGGTCTGATCACTGAGATTTAGACTTTCAATTACTTTTTACCTCCATAACGATGAGGGACCTATTAAAATAGTCTGCCCTTGGAATCAGATGGATCCATATGGATTCCTATGAGCTCTGGGGGAATTTCTGGCTGATATGACTGGTGCAACTCTTGAAGCTCAAATCCCTCTATGGAATGTGGAAGTGATCCGGGCAATTGGCATGACCACACTTAAATGCCCTCTCCACACTTCCAGAGCTCATGCGGTGCCTTGATACACTCCTGAGCTGCAAGCAATAAAGCAAACTGGGAGACAGAGCACAGGTGGAGAAAAATATGTGCCAAATCTGATATAACAAAAGTAAGAACTCATTATTGAGCCTATGTTTTGGCAGTGAAGGTGGCAAAGAAGAGATTCTTCTCCACCGGCATTGCATCCTCACTGTGTTGTCTGGTGAAGCATTTCAGGTGGTTCATGGCCAATTGCCTCAGTGGCCTGCTGCAACAAATTGCACAACACTTTGAGTGTAACATTGTTCAGATTCACCACGAATGGAACTCTACAGTTGGAGTTAGTCTTGCAAGGGAGGTGTCCAGTGTTCCATGTTATCCTGTCTTGCTGGATGAGTTTCAATTATGGAAACCTGAGGAAATGGACAATATGTTTAGACAAGTTTGGCATACCACCTGTATACCTAACCCTTGCCCTTTCTGGTTGATCATCAAAGCCTGGACCCTGGGTCCAGGAGGACATAAATGCCTCTCTGAGGGAGGGCCTAGTTTCCTCTCCTTTGAAGGAGGTGGTGATCAGGTCTCTCTTGAAAAAGACGATCCTAGACCCAGAGGATGCCACCAATTATAGACTGGTGGCTAACAACTCTTTTTTGGGCAAGATGCTCAAGAGGGTAGTGGCTGGGCAACTCCAGCCACTCCTGGAGGAAACTGACCATCTAGACCCAATCCAATCTGGTTTCTGGCTGGTTTTGGGACAGAAACTGCCTTGGTTGCCCTACAGGATGACCTCTGTCAGGAAAGCAACGGGGGGAGTGCAACCCTGTTAGTTCTCCTGGACCTCTCAGAAGCTTTCAATACCATCAACCATGGTATCCTTCTGAATAGGCTGGCCATGTTGGTGGTCAGAGACACTGCTTTGCAATGGTTCTACTCCTACCTTGCTGGCCAATTCCAGATGGTGTCACTAGGGAATTGTGGCTCTGTGACATAGCAGCTATGCCATGGGGTTCCACAGGGTTCCACTTTATCCCCTATGCCGTTCAATTTCTACATGAAACCACTGGGAGAGGTCATCCAGAGGTTTGGGATGAGCAGCCATCAACACGCTGATAACACCCAGCTCTACCTCTCATTTTCATTCAGTCCAGGTGAAGGAGTGTCTGAATTGACTGATGGAGTAGATAAGGGCCAATAAATTGAGGCTCAATCCAGATAAGTCTGAAGTGTTGCTGGTTAGTAGGCTAGGTGAGTGATTTCTGCCTTGAATGGGATTGCACTCCCTGTAAGGGACAGGCTACAGAGCTTGAGAGTACTCCTTGACCCAGAGCTATGCCTAGAATCCGAAATGGCATTTTTGGGAAGGAGTGCTCTTCTTCAGCTAAGGCTGATCCATCAGCTATGATCTCACCTGGACAGGCAAGCCCCAGCAACAGTAACTCACACACTGGTAACCTCCCACGTGGGCTATTGTAATGCACTTTATGTGGAGCTGCCCTTGAAGATGGTCTGAACATTGCAATTGGTTCAAAACAGAGCTGCCAGATTGCTGACTGGGACCACTAGACAAGAACGTATTACACCTGTCCTATATCAGCTACACTGGCCACCAATTGAAGTCTGGGTCCAATTTAAGGTGCTAATGATGGCATATAAAGCCCTAAATGGTTTAGGGCCTGGTTATCTAAGGGAATGTCTCCTTTCTTAAGAGCCTGCCTGGACCTTAAGTCCATCTGCAGAAGTCCTCTTCCAAGAAAGAGGTGAGGAGAACTGTTATGAGGAGGAGGGCCTTTTCTGCAATAGTGCCCTGATTATGGAACATGCTCTCCAGAGAAGTATGCCTGGTGCCGATGCTTCATTCATTCTGGTGCCAGGCCAAAACTTTTTTATTTACTGGGTGTTTTAATTGTTAAATGATATTTTAATTATTTTAGCATCAAGTATGGGCACTAAGGAGTTTTTAAATGTGTTACTGTTGAATTAATTGGTTTTTTAAAATTGTTGTAAACTGTCATGAGCTTCTTAATCAATGACATTTTTTAAAAAATAAAATAAATAAAAATAAATAATAAAAGCTAACTGGGCCAGCATCCTCCATGACATGTCAAAGCAGCAAGCCAGCTCTGGGGGCTGAGCAGGACAGCCTGCTCTTCTTACACCAGCTCCTGCTGCCACCTCCAGTACCTGCTGCCTGAGGCAACTGCCCCACTGGTAGGCTTGGCCCTGGCTAGTTCCAGTCTTGCGCTCATTGTGTCCTGCCACCATCCAGTCTTATAACGTGCTACTCTTTGGATGTTGCAGAAATTTGAATGACAGTGGCTGCCCCAGCTCCTCTGACACTTTTCTTTCAGGTCTGCTCACATTACTAGCAAAACATACAGAGTTCTGGCTATATGCCAGCACAACAGCTGATATGATGGGCTAAGCACTAATCCCTGTTTCTACAAAGTATAAACCGTCAGGGAACATATTTCACATTTTTAAGAGCCAGCATCAGATTTCTGTGTGGCATAATCCCAGCAAATATGAACAGCTAACTTGAACTCTTTACACAAATATTACATTTTTAGTAATTGGCACTTCCCAACCCCTGCATTCCAAATAATGCCAAATGAAATTTCACTTTGGGACATCAGGATTCATGACTTGCTCTGTCATGACCAAGGGCCATTGCATCAACTTGCTCTCTGTGAATTTAAGAATATTTGAGCAGGCGTTATTTTTAATTTGGATAAATGCAACCATTACTGAAATACAGGAGTTA